ATCATACATTAGCAATTCAGTTCCCAAAAAGATTTAGGTCAGCAAAGCTATTACTTTTATAGGCGTTGTCGGAGCCCAACAATTCATGACAGTTTAATTGGCAAAAGAGAACTTGCTTTATATATAGTTAAATAAACATAGGATTTGCTAGAATCTTGCTTTAATTATTTGTTGTACACTGCATTGAAAGTATATAGGTAGTATTTTCATGTTCCCGTATTAACGCACTATTAAGTTAAAGCATAAGATTTCACTTCAAAAAGTGCAAAACTAAACAATTTCACTCAAACATTACATTTGCAAAAGTAGTGAACTTTTTGTTCTAAATGATTCTAAGTGCTAAGAATTGTCGGCAATTTTTCTAGAATTTCTCACCTACTTTTTTGAACTTGTGTTCGAATTTTAGGTAAGGTCATTTGGCCTACTTTTTGGCCTATTTATGTCTATTTTTGGTCTATTTTGGTCTACTTTTGGCCTATTTTTGTTTTTCTAGAATTTCTCACCTACTTTTTTGAACTTGTGTTCGAATTTTAGGTAAGGTCATTTGGCCTACTTTTTGGCCTATTTATGTCTATTTTTGGTCTATTTTGGTCTACTTTTGGCCTATTTTTGGCCTACTGGTTGACCTATTATTTGACCTACTTTGGACCCGATCGGGCCTCACAATTACCGAGGCAATAAAGGTAGACTCAATCATGTTCAAATAGTTTTTATTGATAAAACTCATAGGGCCCGAGACCCGGGAATTAATACAATAGGTTTTGATTGTTATTTAATCGTCGGGCCACTTGGATATCCTTAGGCATAACAGTTACTCGGCCCGCGTGTTTCGCTAGGAGGCCCGCATCGGTAAACAAGTCCGTTATGTAACTCTCTATAGTGGCCTGCAAGGCACCGATAGCCGCTGATTGGAAGCGGACACCCACCATATAGTCTGGGGCTATCTCTCGGACTAATCTCTGGAACGGTAACTTCTTAATAAGGGTGTGGGTGGTCTTCTGGAGATACTTAATGTCCTTCCGCACTTGGTTTTTGCGTTTCCTACGTCTCGGGGTAGTCTCTTGTGGCGGCGGGACCCGTGGAACAGTGATTCCACTACGCCTCTTAGGCATCGTCGCCTTTCTGAGCCGAGTTTTGGCCTTGCCTTTCCCTATAGGCACTCTGCGCACGCCATTAATGTCCACACAAGTATGGGGGACAGTGGGCGTCGGGCCTGCAGTATCTGGTGTAACGATACAGGGCCCAGAACCAGATGTAGATGGAACGCTAGAGTCTACAGGGCCTATATTGTCGGCACCCGCTTCATTAACACTAATAGCGGGTAGTATGTTGTTTATTCTTGTGAGAACAACACTTGGTATTGGGATGAATGGTATCCCAGCATTTGGTCCTTTTTTCGAGGGAAACCCAACACACCTCACGGGAGTAAGGCCTCTCTGTCGGGGCCTACTCTCTAAATATCGGTGTGCATTCTTCGTGAGAGTCATTCCTTTGATTAAATAATATCAGTAAAACAAACCATAGTTTGTAAATAATAATCAAAACTTACTTATGTGGGCCAACAATTATTTATTAATTATTTATTACTAATACTCAATATGATTATAATGCACAAAAGATTTGGGAAATTTTGAGTATAGTGTTGATAGTCAACCGAACCAAAATGTTTACCGAATTGATTTAATACAATTTAGTTTAACGCGAGGCCAACTTTTGAGGACACCTTTGCGTTTATATATGCTTATAATGTATTACTATTGTAAACTAAATGTGCTCAGTTTAGAGAGTTAAGCACTTTTAAGCATAATATGCGAATACATGAGTGTCAATGGGAAACAGGTTAGCGCTCAATAATGTGCTGCCATTTTGTATTTTACTTGGCATTCCATTCATACTGAATAAAAAAAACCGCTTTTTAAGAGAAATAACCTAAATACACTCTCCCATAGAAGCAATGTATTGGCTTTTCAAACAAGTATTTTTTTGTTTTTATTGTATTACTGCAGCGATTGTGGTATTCCCCTCAGGCGCTCATTCAATGAAACTGTATGTACGTCATGGTAAAAGTTGCTTTAGAAATACCTGTTTCTATACACATACTCTCAATGCATATGATTTTTAATACAATTTGTATACGTTTTCCAATTGAATGCGAAAACGCTTCAACTCTCCAATCTAAGAACTTTTTGTATTCACTATTTAACTAATACTTTTTAAAGAGAGGACAGCTTTTTGACCAGACGGTAACGCGGAAAGGGAAGTAGCGCTTACGTCACTAATACAGGTTTGTTTTTATGCTTTCCAATTTGTTTCTATATGTTTTAAAACATTATTATTATTTGTATTTACAGGTGATTATGTACTTTTAATTCTCTACTATCATTATAACAACATCTCAAGCATAGTATCTCGTATTATTGATAAGGTTTTATCATTTTAATTTACATTTGTTTACTTCGTTTGTAGTTTCTGATCGGCTATATGCTATTAAGAGTAATAAACAACTCAAAGCATTAATTAACTAACTATTGAACAAGTATTTACTACTGGTATGTACGAGTTTATTATGTGTTACTAACGTTTGATTGTTGAATCAATCGTTAAGTTATTTACTCTATTACTGTTGCTACAGCTAATCAAGTATAATATCCATTATTATTAACTGATATATTGCATTATTAATCATAATTGTTTATTTATTCTGTAGTAAGTTTGCAAACAACTGATACTCAACTATTATCAACAATTTATCAACTGTTTAACAGTTTTACTCTATACTGGTATGTACAACTCTAAAGTGCATTATTAAGTTTTGATATTTTTTTTTATCAATTGTTAGTTTCAGTCACTAAATGATTTATTAATTGTTTACTTAAAAGTATTAAGAATGGCGTCAAATGATGTACAAGAGCCGGATAGTCAGACCACTGAACTAGATACCTCTGTGTCATGGAATCCGACGATTATTCGGCCACTCGAACCTCTGACTACGTTTGGGAACGCCGTGGAACTAATAATCATAGGCGAGACTGCAAGTGAACTCATGTTCAAATGGTCACTAAAAGTGAGCCGTGATCAGCACATGGCCGGAATCATAAATCACATCGTAAATCATATTGAGTACGGCCATTACGACGCCGTATTCACTTGTGGTGGTTTAAAACTCAAGCCGTGTATCACTGTTTATGAGCTAATGCTTAAGGATTGGGATGAGATTCACGTTCGCCTTTCGGAAAAATGGCCATCAATTGCTCACATTGATACCAGTAATGGAGATAACGGCATGGGATTTTAAAGTGTATACTGTTTGCAAACCCTATATTATTACTATTTCGCTTTATTTCTATATACTTAATTTGCTTAACATTATTTTGTTTTACTTATTTTGGGTGCGGCTTTGGGATTTTTTGTTATAACTTAGTTTTGCTTAATAAATCTCAGAAACTTTATTTATATTGAATTAATTATTAGACAACGTGCAATAAAAGTAAGAAAGGTGGAGCTTGTTTATGATTGGTAGTTAGTTTCTGAGTAAGGTCACCTTCAAGCAAAGCGGTTTGTTTTTACAAACAAAGCTGAATTTTCTGCTGCCTTGAGCACAGCTTTGAAGCGCTTGTAACGATTGGCATTCTTTTGTGATTTTATACTTTACAACATAATAATGGCTGCGAGTATAACTGGATCTGCTTCGGTAAGCGGGCTTAGTAACGCCGATCCAGCTGATGACGGTTGGCCGTGCTATTTACCTGTGCGAACCATTTCGCCAACCCCTCGGTCTGGTGGCGACGAAAGCGCGGAGTCTATTATCATTGATGTGATAATACGGAAAGGGGATCGGATCTCTATGTTGGCTCTTGGTATCAGTACGACTCAGCCCATGTCTATTATCATGGACCATATAGTGACGAGACTCAACGAGACAGAGTGTAACGCTTTATTTCGGTTTAATAATATACTGTTAACGCCGTCTGATCGAGCAGTGGACATTGGTTTACGCTATGGTGGTCATATTAATGTTGAATTGGTTAAAATAAGGTAAGTGACTACACAACTTGTCTTATTTAAAATCCCTCACTAATGGTAACATTGTTATTTAGAGAAACAAGAGATAGCTTTGAACGTTTCAATCACAAAATAAAAATGGCTATATTCGCTCGTCTTAATTATGTGGACAAACTTCAACTGAGAGCGGTCGCGTCTACATGGCGTCGACCAATGAAAGGCTTACTTCGGAAACTTATAGTCAACAAGGACCTTGTAGACACTCTTATCGGCAAAAATCCGTTTAATTTGGCTGTAAAATTTCAGCGTTTGCTTCGCTTCTTGCAGCCTAATGTGGTAATTATTGACTCGTCTTTATACCACGAAAGGCAACTAATTCCTTATATCGCTGAGTTGCATTGGATTGAGGAAATTAAATTGGTCATTCTTCCTGATTGTCCATTTACTAAACTTAGATGTATGATAGAATTCTTTCTGGCAAGGACAAACACTAACCCGACAAGACCTACTCATAAAGATAATATTGAAATAATTGATATGAGAGGCCCTAAACAACCGTTTATAGAGCGGTCGCGTCTACATGGCGTCGACCAATGAAAGGCTTACTTCGGAAACTTATAGTCAACAAGGACCTTGTAGACACTCTTATCGGCAAAAATCCGTTTAATTTGGCTGTAAAATTTCAGCGTTTGCTTCGCTTCTTGCAGCCTAATGTGGTAATTATTGACTCGTCTTTATACCATGAAAGGCAACTAATTCCTTATATCGCTGAGTTGCATTGGATTGAGGAAGTTAAATTGGTCATTCTTCCTGATTGTCCATTTACTAAACTTAGATGTATGATAGAATTCTTTCTGGCAAGGACAAACACTAACCCGACAAGACCTACTCATAAAGATAATATTGAAATAATTGATATGAGAGGTCCTAAACAACCGTTTAAGTACAATGACTGGGAATTCACTCCTGCTCATCTACGGTCTTCAATTCTCGGTCACCTCATATAATGAAAAGTAAACCTTTTCGGACTTAGCTTATATTATCGATTTTACCTTTACTGACTATATTATAAACAATATAATACTATATTTTATCTATTTTTCTTTTATTATATATAATATTTTTTGATTTATTTAGATTTGCACTGATAGACTAATTTCTATTTTTAATTTACAATCGGCATAATAGATTGTAATTGTGAATTTAAAATAAACTTATTTCAAAGCATTTATATATTTTGTATTTACTATAACTTATATACAAAAACATTTTGGTAGGCTATTATTATTGTATTATAGTGTCAATTTCTTGAAATGTGTGAACACGTTTATGACCTATAAAAGGGCTGTCTTACGAGTTGATACTCAACACACCCATTCAGACGTCAGTTGACTATGACATGCGTACTAAATGATATTTTAGCATAGCGCAGTTAACAGCGTAGCAAAACATAAACATTTGGGCCAAACTTTATTCACTTTATTTCTTGGTCTGCGGGCGTTTTCACTATCATTCCTATTTTCACTGTTAATACTGATGTGTACGTTGGACAATCAACTTAACTTTTATGTGTGATTAAAGCTGATAACTCACACTAATAATAGTTCATTGCTTTAGCAAGTTAAAGTAAGTTAGCTTTCAAACATTATATACCGATTTCACTTTAAGAGTACAATTAAATTAATTGTTGTAATCATGAACAGAATGGATTTAAGTACCACAGCTAACAAAGAAAAACAACCGAAGAGACAGAAGACTGGCTCTGAAGAAACAGATACTCAACCAAGTCTCACCCTATCAACAGTCGAACTGTTGCCCATCGAGGCAATAAGAAGAACGAAGAGTCGAGACGGTACGAAGAAGGGCGACCTAAGCGACCGCGTCTAAAGTTAAGTACGGCATCAGTGGACTCGCAAAGGTAAAGTCGAATTACGTTCAATACTCAGTTAGACATGGATAGGGGGGTGACGATCAGAGGCCGCGCCCGAGAATGCAGAAGCCGCCAGCCTAAGATCATATTTGGACCCGGGCCGACCCAAGATCGTTACAGATAGCAAGGGTATGGGATATGTACAGGTCTAGATGTGACCTAACCCATATAAATTTAATTGTTAACATATAAAATTGTAACAGAACGCACATAAAATGTGATCAAACGGGAGTAAACTTATAGTTTCATAAAGTAAAATACTGAAATGTTTGCTACTTGTCACTAAAATCTATAATGTATTGAAATATGGTCTCAGTGAAGTCATTGTGAGACAATAATTGACGATATCCTAATTATATTCCTTATAAATTAAGCAAAATTAATTACAATAAGTTAAAATTGCACGTTTTTTGACTTATAGCATGGATAACAGAGAGCTAATACCCGTATTGACTGACCTGCTGGAATCCATAAACCCTCCGCCAATAGGGTTATGTATGCTAGGCCGTATATGAATATTACGTGGTTTAATAAGTGTTAGCAAAGTGATATGGC